TGATGTCTGGTATCATCTTGAGACGTGGGTGAGAAGGCTTGTTACCGTAAGTATCCTCCATCATGGTCTCCTCAAACCTCTCCTGCTCCAGCACCATACTTCACCTTGTCCTTTCACCTCCACTCTTACTCCTTCTACACTAACTATTATCATAGGTTCTCACCACAGATGTTTTTTTTTTTCAGTACTGAGCACCAGCTGCTTGTCTTGTATAATTCACAGAGGGTTGTTTACGCTAACACAGGTCGGGATGCTGCACGAAATGGCAAATGGAGTAGTGAATGGAAGTTTAGTTATAGATGTTAGGAACAACCCGTGCAACACACACTAGCTGCACCTTCTATATGAGCTCCTGCCTCCCCAGCTACACTACTACAATATACTGGCAACTCGACATCTTTGCCCACACCACCTCAGCTAGAACTTCTCGTCTATTTAATAGCTACCTATTTCTGTTAGCAGGCTATTTTTCTATCTGGTATGCTCGAGTTGTCCTCTCAGTTAATGCAGTACACTATGCTAATGACAATCCATGCGCTTCAGGAATCACTACATAACAATTTTGCTGCTGGTCGAGTCTCTGGCAACCCAGAGTGACCTGTGAGATAATCATAGTGACGTTTTCCTTACGTAGTGTGAGAATATTTTTGAGAGCTCATTCGTTGCTGGAAAGGCTTTGCTCTGACGTTATATACAAAATACTTCAAATGTATATAACTGTCTTTAAAAATGGTAAGGTGTAAGTACACAAAACAGAAACATAAAATAATTATTTTGTCAGGCTTGTATCTTGGCAAGCTCCATGACTGAGAATTCCTCCCTCGTCTGGCAGCATCTTCCTCTTAAATACTTATTACAACACATTGCGGCTTGAGTATTTTTTTCTATTTCCGTCACTTAAAGAAAACGAAGTTTGTGGGCGTTGCTACAGAAGCCAATCCCATGAAAATCCTCAATAAAACAAAAAAAAAAGGTGAATATAAAGTGTGTTGAGGTTGACTCTGAGCTGACATTGCAACATTTGCCTCATCATTACTGACAACAACCATCTTGAGAAAAAGGAACTGTCTTCAGAAAAAAAAGGAACACCTAGTGGGAAAGTTTGTAAAGTACAGCAGGAGTTTAAGTTTATACAGTTTTAACTACACAAATTATCATACATAGTAACTAACGTGTAAATTACTTAGGATGGCCCACAAAAAGTCAACCAAAGTGACTTATTTCCACTTGGGTCCTTGTAATATCCTATTATTAAACTTTAAAAAACAAACCAGCCTAAGTAACTGTGTGAAAATCACTTACAGTCAAAGGAAATATACTAGGAATACGGTAAACTGAGTTATCTGCATTAAAAAGAGGATCAGCTTACAATAATAGGTATATGAATCTTACCTATACAAGAAGTCACCGCATCTTATAAGAATATAAGAAAGAAGGAACACTGCAACAAGCCTACTGGCCCATGCGAAACTGCATATTTTACAGATAAAAACCAATTAGTAAGAAGGAAGAATTCTCCCCCTGTACATAAGTAAGCAAAACAATAAACAATAATACTTGTTTATATTGCAGTCCCTCTTAAGCATCCCCGGGAGGCCACCCACAACAAGAGACTAACTTCCAATTGTTTATTTACAGCTATGTCAGGGGCAGCAGGTATTAGGTGACCAGGAGCTATGAATCGACCCCCTGCAACCACATATAGGTGAGTACCTGTCCATGCGTCCCTCCTTGCCCAGGGTTCGACCAGGGCACTTTAGGTTGTGAGTTTTTCTACTCCCGGAGCCCGGCCATAGGCCAGGCTCGTCTGGTGCTTGCGTGGTCAACTAGGCTGTTGCTGGTGGTGGTCCACTGACCCACATGGGTTATTTTTGTATCTCTCATCTTTCTTCTTTTATCTTCCACCTTTCTAATTAAAAAAAATTATTTACGAAGATAATACTTATATAACAGAATGAATGATGTAAGTCTTTATACATGATAAAGCCCGCACAGTGTGACTAAATGGTCCAAGTGGGACCGAAATGTCGTAAGCTTCTCTCTCTCTCTCGTATGTGCGGGTCATTTGTATATTGTTTGAGTCACGGTATTGTGCCTTTTTCTTTCAAAACTCCAGGTCAGTGTACAAGACACTGACCTGGAGTCTTACGACTCACTTGCCATGAATTTAAATCACTGGCAATGGATTCAAATCACTTGCCATGGGTTCAAATCACTTGCCATGAGTTCTAACTCCACCCATACCGTGGTTTGTTTACATTCGTGTTAATAGTTTCGTGAGTCATTTTACTAATTTTTATTCACCTTTCTCTCTTTGTCTTTCTTGATTTGCCTTAACCTAGCCTGAGAGCGAGGGTTGACCTTAACATGAACTTCAGGCGTGGCTCATGGTTCTTGCTGCCTCCCGCAGTGTTTGATATAAACATCACACACTCCCGTACTCTAATACATTTGATGACACAACAGACTGACACACACGTGAATGTCCTGCTTAAAGGTAGAATGAGTAGTGCATTCCAAGAGGCTGGGGACTTCCACACTGCTGTACACTTCCCGCAGTCTCCTCACACAAGTTCAGCTATTCGTAGTTTAAATTCTCAAACGGCAGACGACGAAATTCTGACCTTGAAAACTAGTCACTAGGTTTCTCTCTCTCTCTCTCTCACACACACACACACAAGAGGTACAATAAGGATCTTGAAGTTAGGAGTGCATCTAGTGCCGATCAGTGAAGAAGCGAGGCCAGGAGCTGTGAATCAACCCATCCACATAAGTGAGCACACACACACACACACTGCACAGTGGGGTTCCCAATTACTAACGGCGACAGCACTCTATCACCCCGTGCGGAATCCCCAGGTGCGTAACTGCGCGGAAATCGAGACAAACAGGACCGTGATTGGCATGACAGAGGATCGAGGATCGTGATTGGCATGACAGAGGATCGAGGATCGTGATTGGCATGACAGAGGATCGAGGATCGTGATTGGCATGACGAATTTATCATTTCATAAAATAAAATATTAGCGTCTCCCCATTGTTGGACGATAACTTCTGCAGTATTAAGAAAGCGGAGTTTTGAAACGAGCTAAGATAGCAGCTCATAGCTATCAATAATAATTAATTTCAGAATGATACAATGTACAGAGATAAGTGACATTTAGATATGCATGCAGAAAGCCCTTAGTGATGCAGAACATTTCGGGTATATAATGCAGACAAGATGATGAATTAGACACGTGTAACATCTGGGTATCTTTATAATGCAGACGTTTCGCCAACCAGTGGCTTTATCAGTACAATAAAGAAATATAAACAGAAGCTATAAACAGGCAGAAATTTATTTTAAAATGTTTAGGAAGACGCACGCTTATAGTATACTGGAGTCAGATGAGGCGCAGCAGGTAGAGGCACTGTCAGAAGTGGGCGGGATCCACTAGTGGGGCTAAGTCATTCCCAAGAATTGGGCCAGACATACTTGTGTAAATGTCATCTGTACCACTATTCCACGATGTTATTTTGCCTGACAAGTAATCATCAGTCGTATACAACACAGAGGCGAGGCTGAGAGATTGATCACCTCCTCTTCTACAGCCTTATGTCCTTGTACTAATGAAACCACTGGTTGGCGAAGTCTACAAAATAAAGATACCCAGATAGGATGCAAGTATAAACCCTTCGGTATATATATACATGTGTATGGGAAGCAGCGTGATATGTGAAATAAAGAAGTGGTAGACTAATTATGTGCCAAGAATTTTAATATTAAGAAGGAAGTGAAAAGATGCGACAAACTTTCATTTCCTTTGTGTTACTGAACGAAATCTGTGGCTTCCGGCCTGTGTATAGTTAAGTTTGTGAGATATTTTTAATGTATTGTTGGGTAACGAGAAGTGACAAATAATGCAATCCTACAACATAAGACTGAGGAGTAACTGCAGCCCTGTGTTCTGTCTTTTGTTTGTATCAAGTCATTTAGATTTTCCTTTCTGGGATCTATTGTTTGTTATGGCGTCGACTGAATAACCCAAGACGTGGGTTACTTCAGCCTTCTGTTCCGCTTCAACCACAATATACGGACTATCACACTACTGCCATATTAAGTTTATACAGGCACAAGTACACATGCGTAAAATTATCATAGTGTAAATTCCCTAGGATATCCCCCCAAGTCAGACAGTGACTTATTTCCATTGGGGTCCTTGTCATCACAACGATTGCTGTGGAAAATACTGTATATATTTTCCGGAAATACGGTAATTTATAGGTAAATAGATGGTCTATACTGTATTTAATAATATTTGTCATAGAAAACGGAAAGCCTGCGTCTGGGCAGGGGACTCGCCATCTTGGTTTTGAATTTTGTACAAACGTTGGTGTAATGGGAAGAATTTTTCGTGCTCTAGAGGTTAAAATTGTGTTGACACCTCTCAAATAGGAGGCGAAATTGGTGGATGTGCATTCCTGCATAACTTGAGATATCAGACGACTGGACAAGACAGCTCCAGGAACCTCAGATAAGCTCTCTAGATTTGTGTGTAATTCTGACCAGCATTATTTTCATAGATTTAGTTAGAGTGAGGTTTTCTGAGTATGATACACATTAATCTCCAGTCAAATTGGTGAGTGATATTAAGATATATTTTCCTTCTGTTATGTAATTGTGTATATATATAACCATTTATTATTTTTAATATACAGTCCACAAATTTATATATTTACCAGTATTCCTGGTGTATGTATATTTCATTTAATTAATAGGTCCAGAGCAACTTGTGGTTATGACAGTGGTAGGTATCGAAGGGGGACATTTTTTGCGACCTAGGTGTCCCAAATTCCTACTTGTCTATGTAACATTGATAAATAATAATTATCTTTGTTATCATTTACTGTTATGTACATAATTAGTTACATTCAGATAAATGCAATTTTCCACATTTAACATCACAAGTATCGGTCACGCGCTGGTACAATCCAGAGAAAGTAAATGGTTTACTTACTTGGAACTGAAGAGCCAACATTGGCTTGTGGTCAAGAGACGAGTGCAATGAAACACATTACGTCTGAGTGCCACGCTTGTCCTGTCCTGGGAAACAGGAACTTCGTGGGTCCGCTCCGTAATACACACATCACATGACTCTCCTTCCCGTATTGTAGTTAATGACGGTGGGAAGAAGCAAGACGATGACCTCTTTGACGACAAGGGGCAGGAGGTGGACGCGAAAGCTGCTGGGTAGGAAAAGCTGGACACATAACGTAAAGATGGAGAGAAAGAGGATGAAGAAGTAGATGAGACCAGAGAATCTCCGTCTCCCATCTGTGCCTCAGGCCGTGTATTACTTTCAAGACTATTGTTGATGTTGTAGTTGCTGTTATTGTTTCCGGTGGAGTTTATGCTATTGTTCTGTCCATCAGTTTCACTCGTGCCAGCGCCACCATAGCTACTTTCTGTCTCAGTGTTCGTAAACGTATCAGCAGCGTCATAGAATTCTTCATCATCTTTATAGAGGTGAGGGAGTGTTGGTGGTTGGTGCTCATCGCCATTATCACCAACACTATCGCTACCATGAGGGTGAGGGAGTGAGTGTTGATGATCACTATCCCCAACATCGTCGTTGCCATGAGGGTGAGGGAGAGATGGTTGGAGCTGGTCTTCAGCATTACAAACTCCTTTTCTCCCTTCTTCCTCCACAATATTCCTCATTTTATCCATCGATATTCAGGACGAAAAGCTCAAACAAATGCCCACTTTACCTTCTCAAACAACATACAAACGGTACCAACACAGTACTCAAAGATCGTACCCCACAGCTGACGCACAAAGTTGGCATACACAGCTGGTATGTTCAACAAGCACACATTGCTGAATAAGTGTGATGGATAAGGGTCGTAGAGCTGAAGTTCTGGATCAGAGAGCTTGCCAGCTCCCTCCTGCAGCCAACACACTATCGCTCCTCCGGTGTAGCAAAGAATCAGTAATATCCATCACACGGCGATTCCTTAAACCAGTGCTTGACACACAAGTGTTCCTCCAAACACAGAGTACTCTAAGATCCACCAACACACGTAGAATATCATTCAACTGCATCAAATAAAAATTAAAATGAGAGGCCAGTATACAGGTCGAACAGAGCTTGGCTGTGACTAGCGGACATATGAGGCATCTTCATTCAGATTATCACAACGGTGCCACATCGTTCATTAACAAACCCATTTAACCCAAACCAAATATGGCCTTCCTCCTCTTTTGACACATGTCCAGTCTTCTGACCTGACCTGAAGTCAAGCACGGGTCGCCCCACCTTCCCCGACAATTTACTTTTCTCGCAAATGTTAAAATTTAGGAAACAATTATTATTATTTTTTTGCGAGTTGCGCCAAGACGAGTCTACAGCAGAGGATGTATCGTCCGGTATAATATCCAGAACAATTCGTCCAGTTTCGGTTGTTTTTTGACACCGTTCAATAAAAAGTTTGAGGTAATCAATCTCTCAGCCTGGAGGCGATGTGTTTAGTCTATCAGTCTTGACAAAAGTCCACCTTTATCTAAACTGGACTGAAGAATCCGATGGCTGACGAAACGTCTTCAGAATAGTTACCCAAATGTTGCACAAGTGTCTCATTTATCAAATAAAAGCGACGCAGTTCTGACAGAGGGACCTAGATAAAGAGGCGAAGAACCTAGGAGAACCTGAGACACACAAGCAACAAATTAATCAAGAACAAAAAGGCACAATGCCGTGACTGGAACAATACACAAATAACCCGCACATAGAGGAGCTTACCACGACGTTCCGGTCCGACTTTCTTTCTTATGAACATTAAAATGGTATAAAATACCGACAGATTGTTAGGTTGAAGATGGAGATGGCAACACGGGAATCAAAAGAAGGAACAAAGGGTAAAAGAAGACATTCACAAATAATATAGTCATTAACGAGAGACAGTAGGAAAGTTAGGAATATTGTGCAACAGGGAGGGACTGTAATGTTTTATTGTGAAGTGATAAACACAAGAGGGAGACAAAAGGAATAGAAGAGTGAACGAATGAAAACAGTGCGAAGTAGGTGAGGTAGGCAGTAGGTGAAGTAGACAATGAGACAGTAGGTGAAGTAGACAGTGAGACAGTAGGTGAAGTAGACAGTGAGACAGTAGGTGAAGCAGACAGTGAGACAGTAGGTGAGACAGGCAGCAGGTGAGGTAGACGATGTACAAATAAATCTCCGGACGCAGGGAGAGGTGAGATAAGCCAGCCTAGGCAACAACAATGATAAATTTCCCGAACCGTCCAATTTCATGTGCAAGGAGCCAACGCAGGCTAGGCTGCCATCCCTCACACATTACACAGTACTATTAAGATACTGCAGTAGCAGAGTACACACCTTAGAGGGACGGAGGTGGCTGTAATATCCTCATGCATTCTTGTAGTCACGCGAAGCGCTAATCCCGTGTGGGCTACTCGGGGCAAGGAGCACTGGAGACGTGTTTGTCAGCCACTAGCCTGAGTAAACAATGTCTAGCTGACACAGTGCAAGGTTAGGTAAAGTTCATCAGGAAACAGGACAAGTATTTCCTGACGTGGGTCTTGGAGCTTTTGGTCATTTGACCGAGGCCTTTCGCTGGGTTACCGGAAGTTCTTGCGCGAATCCTCAGCAATCCTGGCACACTTCACGTAGTAATAGTAATAACACTAGTACAGTAGTAGCAGTAGTAGTAACCAGAGTGAAGACTACTTTGATATAGTGCAGGTGGCCCGGTGGCCCGGTAGCTAAAGCTCCCGCTTCACACACGGAGGGCCCGGGTTCGATTCCCGGCGGGTGGAAACATTTCGACACGTTTCCTTACACCTGTTGTCCTGTTCACCTAGCAGCAAATAGGTACCTGGGTGTTAGTCGACTGGTGTGGGTCGCATCTTGGGGGACAAGATTAAGGACCCCAATGGAAATAAGTTAAACAGTCCTCGATGACGCACTGACTTTCTTGGGTTATCCTGGGTGGCTAACCCTCCGGGGTTAAAAATCCGAACGAAATCTTATCTTATATTGTAATTTATACCAAGAAAACACTGTAAGGACTGGCTCAAAATATTTACACTGAAATCACTACCTATAGAAGTTACAAAATGCCACCATATACAGAATTAGCAAAATAAGCAGACTAAGACACACTCAATAAGCATAAATGTACTATTACTACTACTATTAAAAATAATAATAGTAATAATCTTGATTTCTACAAGTACATGATACAACTATTACAGACCATAGCTGACATAATTGACATACTGTATAGAAAGTCCGTGGTTATGCAGAGCATTTCCCGCAATTTAGGCTTAATTTATCCCCAGGATGCGACCCATAACACTCGACTAACATCCAGGTACCTACTTATTGCTAGGTGAACAAGAACAGCAGGTGTAAGTTGACTAACACCCAGGTACCTACTTACTGCTAAGTGAACAGTGACAGCAGGTGTAAGTTGACTAACACCCAGGTACCTACTTACTGCTAAGTGAACAGTGACAGCAGGTGTAAGGTTACTAACACTCAGGTACCTACTTACTGCTAGGTGAACAGTGACAGCAGGTGTAAGGAAACATGCCCAACGTTTTCACCAGTGCCGGGGATCGATCCCGGACCCTCGGCGTGTGCCCTGAGGAAACTTGCTAGCCTAACTAGCTGCACTGTGGTGGCTCCTTGGACATGATCCAGTGAGTACCAACAACCTGACTGATCAGACCAGCTACCAGGAGGCTTGATATGAGACCGGACAGGGAAAGAGGGCGAGGACCCACAAAACCATCAACAAGTTGACAATCACTAGAAAAATCCACTCACTTAAATGTCGTTCAAAACAAAGAAAGGAGAGATAGAGTAGAGATAATCAAAGGAAGGGGATGAGTAGAGAGATAGACAAGTGATAAATGAATAAAAGCAGTAAAGAAAGCATAGAATAGGCAAAAAAACAGACTTACCTGCTCTGATCCCTGGCGTTCCGTCTCCAGGTGTGCAGTGCTTTAGATACTGTGAGACATAATACGTTAGTCATATATTTACTATATACACATACATATATACACACACACGCATATCTCTAGAGCATTTTCAGCAACTGTCCTTCTTGAGCAAGGGGGTATAAAAGTATTTAGCCAGAAAAATCCAAGTGAAGCACACAGAAATCTGGCCATCCTGTTATCAAAACACTGGTGCCATTATTTTTGAAACTGCGGGTGGGATTTCTCGACTCTTTACACAAAATTTCCTGGGTAAATCCTTTTTAATACCCTTCAAGGAATCAGATATTAAAGAAGGCTGTGACTGTAAGTGCTGGAGGTGTGTAGTCTCATCCTTCTATAAGTTCTATCATGCAATTGCAGAAATAAAGATTATTATTACATATAACATTGACATATCCAGATGTAAGACGCACCAGAAAACACTTACGAATATAAGTATTGTATTTTTCTGCAGAAATGCACCGCTAGCATGTGGTAGATTTTGGGCATTATGGAGAAAGATATTTGTCGTGGGACGTTGTTCACTACTGTACATGGTATAGAAACATGAGTAAATATATACAGGGAGACATGTAAGTTAAGGTGCTGTGGGGATTATTATTATAATCAAGGGGAAGCGCTAAACCCGTAGGATTATACAGCGCCTGGGGGGGGTGTGGAAGGCATTCAGGCTTAATCCGGGGAACTGGAGCACGATCGAATTCCCTAAATCAAGAGCCCCTCACCAACATCAAGGAACCTTCCCTGAGGGGTGTGCTGTGGGGAGGTAAAACAAGGAATTGCAGTGAGGTTGTGAAGTCTTCTGACAGCCGTGTCCCGAGGTGGACCGGGCCATGTGTGATGCAGAACCATGTGGACCACCTGATAAGATAAGATTTCGTTCGGATTTTTAACCCCGGAGGGTTAGCCACCCAGGATAACCCAAGAAAGTCAGAGCGTCATCGAGGACTGTTTAACTTATTTCCATTGGGGTCCTTAATCTTGTCCCCCAGGATGCGACCCACACCAGTCCACTAACACCCAGGTACCTATTTGCTGCTAGGTGAACAGGACAACAGGTGTAAGGCAACGTGTCGAAATGTTTCCACCCGCCGGGAATCGAACCCGGGTCCTCCGTGTGTGAAGCGGGAGCTTTAGCCACCAGGCCACCGGGCCACCTGGACCCATTATGTGCCTCAGTAATCTTTCGACTACCGCCCACGCCATGGGTATGAGGCGCATAATGAAGATATTAAGCTACAAACACCGTGGTAGCCATGTTTCTACCCCAGGCAGATAAACTGTGAACTCTAGGATGGAAAAATAGACAAATACAGTATAGTTCGATGTGGAAAAAGGGACTTATGCACGCTAATGACTTCTTCAGTCCAAATACAGAAATAACTAGTAAATATAATCGTTTCTTAGTTATCTCTATTAGGACAGCAGAAGCCACTAGTAGCGAAATGCCCTCAACTGCACATAAATGTCTTTTTCCATATCTTGTTGGTACCACCATGCCATTTTTTCAGTATAATGGTGTTTCTACCCCATTATAGTAGCAGTGAACAGTGTCCCAGATGAGAAATATCCTCTTTATAATGTCCTAAATGCTTGCTTGTGTGGCTCACAGCCTCAAGCTTCTACCGAAGAATGAAAAACAACGAAGATAAACAAGACTAATCCTAATTATATATATTTTAAAATAGCCTATAAAAATAATAGGCTCTATTAGTGATTACTGAAACCTAGTAACATCATTCTTCAGGGACTTTGCAAGTAAAAAATTTATATATGTGTTTACCATGTTGGTCATCCATGGCCTCTAGTAGACGACACGGCCACCAAAATTGCCCTGGAACAGATAATATATGTAATTAGTGGACTAATTAAACAATAACGCTAAAGATGCGAAAATGTGATAAATGAACCATTATACGAGCATAAAAGTTATATTTTTTTTTAGACCTAGTGAGTTTTTAGGCCTTTTTTTTGAGCTGAAGTTTGTTACACTATTGCTGGATGGCAAGCTTTGTTACTGATGATTATAATCATAACTGTGGAAAATACTGTATATATTTTCCAGAAATTCAGTATTTATATGTAAATAGATGGCCATACTGTATTTAATAATATTTATGT